TACTGCTTCTGACTTTAGGCGACACTCCTCGGTTCCGCTATCTCCCTATGGTCCTTGTATTCCTGCAACTTATCAATTACTTTCTTTACATCATGGAAATAATAGAGTTTGCCGAACAGACCACACGCTATCCGGAAATAGAAAACCAATATACGAACGGTGATCGATCACAACACGCTTGAGTCTGCTATTCGAAGACGCGTATATACTTGACTTGTCTTGTATCGGCGAAGCATGAAGAGGACTTAGCTCGACTAGTACTTCGCACCAAAACGACAAAAAAATGAAAATACCCCCGTAAAAATACGATATCTTATATTTACTCACTTGACTGATCTGTTTCGAGCAGATGTAAAGTGGATCTTGGTTGCCTATCCAATAGGAATGACAAACCTTCCCGATCGCACTATTTAGCCGTACTTCATCTAACAGGTGCTCTGACGATAGATCACCAGAGGGCCGAAGCGAGGATGTTTACGCTAAAAACTGAGAACGAAGTTTCGAATTCTACAACCTGTAGATTGGCGGGCATCTGCAATTTTAGGTTTAAATTTAAATAACAAACGATAGATACAGTTTAAACTCTACATCCCTTCGCCGATACTACAGCTTAAGCGAGACCCCGGTTGAAAAATGTCACTCCTGTGCAAAAAAAGGATTATTCTGATATGGTATTTGCCTAAATCCAACTAGAGGTAGACGGTTCGGCAAACGATACCACAGCGGCGACGCGTGTGCCTACTAAACTTAAGGTGGCTTAATTTCAAAAGTGGGCGTAGACGCACCTCTTTTTTGCTAGGGGCCAGTCCACTGGTGTATCATGAATAGAATACCGAAAGTGAAAAATTTCTACATCTTCCACTTCAACCTCCAACGAGTATCGAAACGAAGTTTGTCGAACTTACAGCTGTCTAGTTCCTTGTGGACGTTTACGAAATCTCTATCGATTTAAATAATTTGAGTTTCCAGTGCCCATCAAGCTTCAGCATCTGCTGAATCGTTATAACAATGACCGAATGTAAGGCCAAACAGCGCATTAATATTATGATTTTCGAGACACGCCAAACTATGTAAAGCCACACTTTGAATCATTGAACGAGATAACGTCTGTAGATTTCAAGGCTTGCTCACCAAACTCTATTTTTTTTTTGCAAGCATCACTGTCAATGGATGAAGAGGTTGCGATAAAACATTTGGACGGATAAATTCCGGTTTGCCGGTTCCTCGTCGCTGCTTCACTACGATACCAGACGAAAGAAAAGCAAATGTCTGGTTAGAAGCCGGCACAACGACCGCCATCAGTATATGCATAAAAGTATATGTTATCCATACGAAATTCTTCAACACAAATTAGCTCGGGTGATTAGGCAAAAGCAATACTGCTGATTAAGTAAACAACCTAAAGTCTACTGCTCATTGGAGCAGCTCAGAAATCCATACTTGGTTAAAGGTCCGAGCAGTACAAAGCGTTATATGTTCGACCAAGTTTGTATCGGAAGTTAGTCATGTGGCGTAACAAAAGTTTAGCGGGCCTTAATAAACGATTCCATAGTGCACATGGCCTCTAGGCTTAGACCTGGAGGGAGCTATACAGCGGATTACCGTTGATTTGAAACGCCTGCTCACAACCTACGTCTCTAAGTGTTGTTAGTAGACTGATCGTTGAGCTGATGGCCCTGCTACCCTATCTTAAGACCGTTCATTAGACGCACGCTTGACTCGTCCTAAAGTAATCATGTCAACAGTTATTATTGTTGAAAATCGGCATGGTAGCTTTGGTACTAGATGTGGTTATACCGCTAGTGTCAAAGTAATAGCTCCATCTTTAGAAGATGGCAAACGTGGCGGGAGAAGGATCAGAATCGGCCAAGGAGGGTGAGCAGTGACTGAAATTTCTTTCTGTTTGAATCGAGACGAAGAGGGAATATAGCTGTGGCTGCTGCCACTATTGTTGTTTTTGGTCATAGCCTGCGATGGGCGTGCCCCTAACCTCACAGATAAGACTATAAGCGAATGAGTCGCTCTGACTCTTCTTTTACTTACCCTTTTTTCAGGTCTTTTTTGCTACCGGGTCCTAGGGAGAGAGCAGTGCGAGGACTAGGGGTTACTCCAGAAAGGGTGATACCAAAAGGATGACTTTCTTTTGCCGCTGCTGTCCCCTTTTATAGCCATTGTCGGTCGCCTTTTTGCTTGTGGCTACCACCAGCGGAGTAAAAATGGGCAAGAAGGGGTGAATGAGCTGTAAGGAAACGGCGACGAATGGACGTAAGCGTATCGACAGTTCGGGGGATGGCCACCAGGCCATTTGTGTTTAGCGGAGAGTTAACCAACCGTCATTCGAATGAGAGAGAGTTGCGAAAGAACCCTTGCCCAGCAGGCTCAATACTATTACATTATCTCTAACAGAAGAGCTTCAGCCATGACCATCTTAGCTTTTTGTCTAGAGAACTAAAGTAGTGCGACCCCTTCAGAAGCTATTCGTCTGTTTCACACAGTCGACCAATGAAGTAAATACATTGGCTCCTTTCTTTCAACTCTCCTAACTCATATCACCGGAAAACTACCGAAGCGCGCCGACGTGAGGTAGTTCTTTGGACGACCAGTTGAGAATGTTAACGGACCACGGATTGTTACTGGACAGGCGTGAAGGAAAGATAGCAAAGTTCGGCTCTTCCACTTGAAAAGTCTGGCTAGAGAAGTGCTTTAACTGTGTTGGCCGTGACCAGGCATGATTTTTTCTGGACTTCTGTTTTGCCTGCGAACGATCTGTAAGAGGCCCGACTAAGGGACGTCGACATCGCGGCTACCAGTCTTGATATGGACCGTAATTGTGATTTATGTATGGATTGTAAAGCTCACAAAATTGATTTCATTGGCTATGTCTGTATTAACAAAATGAAGCAAACTTTTCAATTTGCTGAAAGCAGTATGAAGATTCAGTTACAGAGAAGCAGTACGAAAATTACATTAGTATTTCTTCATTGATGGCAACACGCGGCCCCTGAACCCTGTCGGCGCATAACTGAAACCAAATTTAATCGTCTGGCTTGCTAGTGACAGGTATTAACGCCGTTGCAACGTGCTCTAAACATTTCAATATATTTATGTGCAAAAAGATTCTTGAGTTAAAGATGCCATACCTCTAAAATTAAAAATGTAAAGCTAGCTTTCCGTAAAAGCGCATTAATATTGTGTTTCTTCCACATATTGTTAAATATAGAGTCCGTTGGAGATAACTGGAAACATGGTAATCCGATTAGTATCGGCCGAATATTCTCCTGCTGAGTCCTTCTACAATCCGTCTTACTCTCTCTCTTTTGGCTAGCCCAAATCTATTCTCCTTGTAACGTATTGTTCATAATCAAGCGCCTGGCAGCACCAGCGGAACTGGTTATAGTGAACAGCCGCTACCTCCTCAGTAGTTTCATTACCTGCTTTCTGTTGAGGGTCTAGTATCGTTGGGCGCTGACTATCCGAACGCCCAACTTCAGCTTTTGTAGCTTCTTTGAATCGGGTGAACCAACGCTCATCGTGGCTCATTCTTGCGGCTTCCCTCGCTCTTGTCTAAGTTGGCTCTCGACTCTTCGATGGTTCCATGCTGCACACTCTTTCAACATTGTGGTCTACTTGCAAAGGCGATGCAAACTTGGCCTTAAATATAATCGGCGCCCCTGCTTTTTCTTCGGCATGTACAGGCTTGTTCTTGCTCCCGTTCTTGGTTTCGACATCATCGACCCGTTATATGTTCTCCTATTTATGTTACTTTTCCTCTTCGGCGTACGCCTGTACAGCCGCTGTTTCTGCCCCTTCTGGCGCCGCCCTTTCCCAAAGTGTCGCAAGCTTTTCCGTTGCTATCCTCGACCCCAGCCAGCCGATTCCCTCCATCTCTTTTCCGCCGCAGTCTTGCCTGCCGAAGCCTCCGAATCGTTTCCATCGTCGCTTGGCACGGTCTATGGCAAACGAGCTAGCTGACTGTCGACGCATGCGGCCGCGGTAACACAGAGCTGAGAGCATCTCAAAGCCTCGCTCTGACCGGCGCCCTTCGATCGGATGCAGCAGTTGTAACGACGTCTTTGCTTCACGGGATCGAAAGGAAGGGCCGAACGGGATCTAAGGCCTAGTGCAAACGGGTACGGCGAAAGGGCTCGAACGGCGAGGGCAACACTGGAAGAGGAACAAACAGTCTAGTGGAAAAGGACTCCACTACTAAGCTCAACATTGAACCTTGCTAACAGGGAAAGGAGGAGGGGGTTAGGCGAGGACGGCCACATATCTCGAGCTATAAACGCCATTAACTTGTTAGCTAGCCGCTCACGTCCCCCATGCCCCCGGAGCAAACTTGCTTTACGACCACGAAAAGTGCCGCATGCAGTAACCGACCTAGTAGAAAGTGGCTACAGTCGAAGAATACTGTGGTAGAAGTGATAGTAATAAGTGAACGATGCAAGCCTATATTTTCGGTGTCGTAGCTGGCAGAATGAGGCGTATTTAAAGTAGAAGAGAAATTAGGAAAAAGAGCGAAGCTGGCGCGAGAAAGCAGCGGCTGGGTAAATAAGCTTGCGCAGGCTTATTGTCTCCGCCGAACATTCCGGTAGAGTAAGAGAAGAGGCACTATAGCAAGCCACACGCCTCGTTCACTGCTCTGGAGCAGTCGGCTTAGTCTGTCTTCGCTCGCAGTGGACTATTATGGACGTATTAAAATATGTTTATAAAAGACCATGCGATAAGACTGATTCGGGCACAAACAGTGATATATGCTGTTGTCACAGTACTTCAGTTGTTTAAATTTCATTATGGTGATGATCATAGACATTCCGGTACCTAACTTGCATTTGTGTTGTTCTCTGAACTTTTTCGAATCAGTTCCAACAACATGCTTGCTTAAGAAACTTAGTAATTTCTGTAGATTCAGATAACCGATAACCAATTTTGCTCCAAGCAACTACAGTTTTTTCGAACATAGACACAAATAATTCATGACTCCTGCTCCTTCACTCCAGATGGACGCCCTACTCAACATCATCGCCAAAAGGCACAAAGCCGGCGACGCCATCACCGGGAGCAACTTCTTCAACGCCTCCACAAGAACCAGTTGAGGCGCCGGCAGTTGAGGATGATGCTCTGATGGAGCCGGCACCACCAGTGCCAGACTGCCAGCCTGCTGCGATACCAATTTCCGATTCTAACGTAAGTTGTCAACCGCAAGGAACTTCACCAACAACTAATGAAGCGCAATCGCCCATCCAGCCTTCTAATCACACCTCAAACGGTAAGTAATAACACACTTCTACATTCACCGTATTCATGTTAACAGGTTCAGTAATGTATACGTACAAGATAAGGCATTTAGAATAGGGCTAATTTTTACGGGGTGTTTGTCACAGCGGACATGCGTTCAGTCGCTATTCTTGGCACCAAAAAAGCCAGTTCTTTCGAGAACATAGAGCAAAGCGAGGAACACCAAGCCGCCCGTAATGAGGGACAGTGCGTCATTTTCGGAAGTCGACCGACTGTTAGCTATTATCGAGAGATTTCACGTAAGACTTTAAACTTTCAAAGAGACTTTAAAGACATTTTAAACTTTCTTCTTTGTCCGAAATCGACAGTTCTCTGTTATGACAGTGTTTAAAAAATCCGGGGAAGATTTTCGAGAGGCAAATTGAAAAATTCTCAGTTGCGTTTACATTCAACGGATTAGAAAATTTATTAAAATGTCATAAAAAAACTGTTGTAGGTATATTTAGAAATTAACGGTTGTTCTTAAGAGAAAAATATCAATTGCAATTGCAATGAACGCATTATCGTTGAAATATCTAGACTTATATAAGTGTGGTCCTTTGCCGCATGCAGAATGCTAACATGCAATGCTCTTCTGAAAGAGAGGCGAGCATTTTAACGTATTAGTAGTACCGTATTATAATTACACCAAAGTAAGTTGTAGAATAATAGGATTCAGGAAATCAAGAGGTACTCTATTGTAGAATAATGTCTTACCTAATCACAACGAAAGGCCTCTACGGGCCCTCCTGGATAGCTGATAGGATCAGCTGATTCATCACTAACATACTTTTAGAATGAGATTACTTTTGAGCGCTTAGTAAGAAAAAAAAAAGTCAGGGTTTTTGAATTCTTGCAAGGGTTCTAATTAGTAAAAGGCTTCAGTAGGTTTGCCAGTAATCGCATGGCTAGTCATCGATATAATAGTAAACTTAAGATAAGGTCAGAAGATAAGTTACAGAACGCATTTTGCTAATCTACATTTAGATGAACATATTAGTTTAGTCTCAGAAGAAACGCATTTACTTTTTGTTCATAGTTGCCTCTTCCGCAAAGCCTTACGAAACGCAACTTATCACCTATACCGGTCCACTTTAGTGTGCACAAATACAATATCTATTTGCCGATTGGCTTTCACTTACGCGCACTACCCCTGCGGTGTCCTGTGGAGGCTACAACCTCTATGAGTTTAACTGGTTGACTTTTCATGATAATTTTTCCCGGTCAGTCCCTCAACATAATTACCGAAGTGAGATTGTAAAGAGATTTTGTTATTGAACTTGATAACTTGCGCCTTAATAGAAAGACAAAGTGCAGTACGCGCACGGCCTTTCGAAAAATGGGATCAGTATACAGTAACCACAGACGCTTATGTCTGCTATATCGACATCGACCAGAAAGCGAGCGGAAACGATACGTGGTTTCGAATACCCTATATCAGCTACATTGAGGAGTGTGTAGTTCGTCGGATGGCAGGAGGGGCGTGGGGTGGGAGGCGTGAGTGGTATGTACTGTATTCTCCATACGATGCGTACGTATATTTTGTACGAAGTGCCTCGGGCAACATTTTCGATTAATTGCCACAGAACTCTTCATCAAAGCCTTTGTCTTCAGCGTGGCCTAAGTCGACCCCGCGTATCAGCCAGCCCCTACATAAACGCACCACTATGGAGGCGAATTTTTTTAACCCACCGAACTTGGATTTTATTAAGTAACTTACCTCTCTTACGACTCCTTTCTGCAGCTTCGCGTTGCCTGGCAGCATCTTCTAGCAGTAACTCCTTGATAGCATTCTGACGGTTTCCTGGGTCAATAGGAGTTAACTACGATTTCCGTTCCTATGTACACGCAAATAACCTGCTACACGCTGTGGCAAATTTTAGACCGCAAAAGATCACCCCAAAGTACGATCATTACGTTTACGAACAAATGCGGTTAACTGCTTTGTGAAAGAAACGTACAATACGGAACTCTAAATAAGCAAGAGGAAACTCTACCCGAAGTTTTATCTGTTCCCAATGAACCGAAAATGCATATTTACGTATTAATACGAGAGCGACATCCGTACTAACAAAGATAAAAATGTAAATTGCTCAGCAGTTAAGTATTAGTCTAGGGCTATTAGCGCCTATTTTTCATTGTGCCTTACTATTAGACAAATGTGAATACACATACACTTGAAACGTAAAACGTCGTGCTGGAAAAATACAAACAAGATGAACGTGCTCAAAATGCATAAGATTAGACCCGAAGGCCTAGACTGAAGCGATAAGTTTGGTCTCGACTAATTAAAATGAGAATTCGCACTACGTAGATTGACGAAGATATCTGCATAGTTATTGATACTGGTACCCAGTTATCTGGTCTGAAAAACGGCAAGCCGTTCTTTCGTGGGTTCTACGGTGAACCTCTCCGCTGGCAAAGATGGATAACAACAGGCTGTTCAACCTTCTGCCTGCCATTTCGAAGTAGAACGGCCTATTGCTGCTTCTGCTGCATTTTCCACTCTTTGAGAGGAACAGACCGACTGGGTCCAATGATAGTACGCGCTAAAGGGTGCGAGGCAAGGGCGAAACAACGAAAATGGCAGCAAAACTAGCAGAAAAATAGGACATGAAGAAAATGAAAGAGACAGTAATAAAGGGCCATTCGGAAAACGAGCGCAGAGTGAGCTTCGGCTGCTGTTTCTGCTGATTTCGGTCTATTCGTCGGTCTCTCAACGGTAGGAGGCAATTTTCCATAATGCTTTTACAGAGAATTCTTCACTATACGCCTTCTTCGCCTGGTGACTGGTTCCGCCATGTTAGGCGGAGGCCACGGGGGGGAAGGGGGGGGGGGGTTATTGCGGTGGATTGTGCTGGCGGCAGCAATTGCGGTCGTAGCACCGGTGATGCTGAGGGCGACGGGAGCTGAGTGTGACAGGGAGATCGACTAGATGATGCCGAGCATCGCTTGCTGTTTGTCATCTTGCCCCCGTCCCTGTTTTTCACTACCCCGTCGTACTCGAAAAAATAGAAAGGGACGAGACTTAAACAAACGACAAGCACAATAGCAGTAACAAGGCGACCAATTTTCTTGACAACAGCTCCACACAAATTGAATTATTAAGCCTTTCTTGCTACAGCAACTTAATTTTAGTGAGTTTTCGGCTGTCTGATGTTAAGGGAGTTCCTGATTCCGATCACTATATCGTCGTTCTATCGCGTGTATTATTAGTGTGCCCGTTCCCCCTTGCAATGCTCCTTCCACCAGAATCGTCTCTAAGCTACCCGTTTATTATTAAGTTGGAAAATCCTCTGGCATATAATTACATTTGAACAATATACGCATACTAAGAAACCGATAAAACGGCTATAGTGTTTTTATTGATGATAAAATGGTAATAACGAAGTTCGAGTAAATTTTAAAATATTCTTTTCCTTGAACCCGGCTTCTTTATGTGCTTCACGTACATAATGAAACAGAAGAATCAGAAGTGCTCTGCAATTACTAGCTAGCTTGATCTCTTACGCTGATCAATCCCCTGACCCACTGGGGTGCCGTTCATTGAAGTTGTAAATTCAGCAATAGGTTATTCGTACTTGCATAAACACCTAGCCGACTTTTTATTGGCTTAAAGGCTTCTTTAAGATGGCGTAATGTATTAAGCAAATGCACCGGTGAGTCACCAGTATAAAGTATAATGGAGGATCCTTCTTTGCTTGTCGATTGGACAAGTTAAAGTGTGCGGGGGTTTTTACTTAGCAACCCAAATTACGGCTTCACTTCACGCGCGGTTAACCATGAAGGGGTTTAGCAAGAATCACTCTTAGTATTCGACAACTGTGAAATAACTATAGCATATATATAAAAATAAGTCTATGGTTATTAGAGAGCTCTTCGACACAAACATCAAGCATGCTTTCATATTACGAGTTTAATGGTCAACATATGCGGAATCGATGTATCCACAATAAACCGACTGGCGGAAATAGATCAAAAAGGCTGTTCTGATATGAGTTAATGATGATCAACTTACATAATACCGAGGTTTCAGCATAAATGGGCTCTTTCTGATTTGCCCACTTTTTCGACCAACTCTCACTTAAACAAATATCTCACAAATTTCTCTTTCCATAGGTGCCAAAACGTTACGTTTTCCCGAATCTCTTTTTTTAATCGTATCAATGTTATCGGCGATTTTCAGTTCAGCAGTCGTTGCGCGATGTTCTTTAGATGTCAGTTTCCTGTTCAGACTAAGGGGCATCTTATGACACTTTATGATCTATACAATACGTAGTGAAAGCTAAATGCCGAGAGGTTGTTGTAGCAAAGACCGAATCAACGAAATAACAATTGTGCATCCCTTTTTTACCCTGTAAAGTACGTTTTCCCACGTATCTGTCGTCTGTTGTCGGAACCAATAAGTCCGTTTTATTGTTGCCCTCGGTCCTGATGCGGTAAACAAAACTGCCTATGTAACGACCACCGTCCATCTTGCGATGTCGGCCGTATCTGTAACACAGATAGCCTTATGCCGTTGTCATTACGTAAACCTCATACGCTTTATTCGAAATTGACCGCCAATCTGCTTGACTCTGCTATGTTGTGGGTCCTCAGTCGAGAGGAAGTCAGTACATAAGACAACTCAGGATTAGGACGAAAGGCAAAAGAACTTGCTAAAAAGAGACCGAGTTGACTAGGGAAGCTTGAACTATCCAAAGGAAAGGTTTTCGAAAAGGGGTTCGGAAAATCAGTGTGCGTCTAGGGGGCCCTTGAAGACTGACTTCGAACTCAACTGATGGTCGACTGTTGTTAAAACGGTGAGTTTTGGTGTAAAAGGGGTTTCACGGAGGTGCTGGTTTCTGATTTTGAGGTTAGCATTCTCAAATTTTTTACCAATATTTTCGCCAGACTTTCTTGGACGACCTACACAAAAGACTGACATACTACATCAAGCACTATTTTGCCTGACTTACATTTTGTCGTACCGACGTCCAAGAAGGTATGGACCAAAGAGTCTACGAGTACAACCATTGTAATATGTAGGTACACTTTAATGAAAAATAAAAAAAATTGTATTCACACAGGTCTGTGTCGTTAAACAAACCTCACGTAGCGGTCCTAATAAGCCTAAACCACAGGCTTTGCCATTCACGCTGCAGTATCTCATGCAATCTAATAATAGTATACATCTATATATAAAAGTTAAAGTTAAGACAATATCGCATAAAAAGTCCCTATAATAGTTTTTCACACCAGCTGTCGAGGGGCCTTGTAAGATAATGTTTAGCTTGCGGACATGAGCTTATGTAATAAAGATCATATTCGGTACTGTAGTATCTTTATACTAGTAATACCGTAGTGATGCTGCTTCTCCACAATCACCATTAGTTATACCAGTTCGCCCTTTCTCGCACAGTGCTGCGAACCAACGCGGCCTACCTTATTTTACCTTCTTGTCCCACTCCCCCAGCTGTTCTTTAAAAAAGAAAAAAAGCACAGACTATTATCAAAATGTGTCTTTTCACACGAGATCACACTCATAGTGAGGCGTGCGATTTTACCTATGTCTAAGTTTTATCATGGGTATGACAAGTAATTTACTTAAGCATTAAGTTGACAAAATATTGATGACTAATCCATATGAGTCGAATTTAAGAGCATCATTACCTGGATAGTATTACTAATCGATGAATGAATTGAAACTTTTATACAATACCTATTGAATACTGGCTCGGCGTTCGAACGGCGGATACACCTATCAACAAACCTACATGTTAGACTATAACTAGTTTTGGCTTTTTGTGACTCCATTATCACTTGATGAAAAACAACTTATTTGGTGGCATTTTCGTTACAGACTCTTCAACGAGTCCTCAGCCTATGGGGGCTGCGCTCAACCCTGAAAAGCCCCCCACGCCGCCTAGTGATGGTCTCAGTCTAAGTACATCAGCTACCTCAAACGCCAGCAGCAACTGTAGCTTAACGTCAGGTAACGTAGGACCTCTTTAGAAAACATTTACTGTATCACGCTTCATGGCGTACACCGTGAAGGATCATGAATTGTATTTCCAACACACAAAAATTATACTTAAATAAACAAAATCTAATAGCACGTTCATCTTAGCTGACAATTATTGATCCGGATCAGCTAGCATTCATTAGTACGTCACTCTCTTAACATTTAAAAATATTGTATAAACACCTATGTTGACATTAACGCAATTCATATTGTCTTGGGACAAGTAGCGATCTGTACGAAAATTAAACAGGTTGTTTCGTGTGCAGAAATAGAGCGGAATCACCACTCGCCCATCTATTTGAGTTATTTCGTTAATGACTACGCTACACAAACAATCCTCAACGTTGTCGTTAAAAACTTCCAACTGTGACGTAGCTTTCTTGCCCCCCGCGTTGTCGTCCTACTCACTACAATTGCCTTGCCTTACTTATACGCGTTATGTCATATAAAAGCCTGTGACATGAGGCACAAACCTCTTACTTATATTAATACTTGCCTTTGGCCTACCGGATTCTGTTAAAAAAAATTGGATTACATTCCTTACAAACGGACACCAAAGCACCGTTAATTCGCGCACTTCTATATATAATCAGAGATTTCTTTCATTCATAGCACTTCTTTCCATTTTGTGTCGATGATGGTTATTCAAAATAACGTAGCAAACGGCAGCAACTATTTCTTCTAATCATTTATAACTAGTTGTCGCGACGGAGAACGTTTTTTTGCCCTTTCTGAAGAGAAAACTACCTCAGCCAATAAATTCAGCGTGCATAATTTTATTTGTACGCTGACTACCTCCATTAAAGACAGAGTTGGTGTACCTTTGTTACTATATGTTTGACCAAATTTGCTGTCATTTTCGTGCTCGTGTCAAACGAACTTAATTAATTTCACTATTTCGCATACTCAGGAGTCATTCTGATCTAAAACGACATCATATATGATGTTACTTGGGGTCATGCACATGCTTGCGCATTTGTTATCTTTTAAAAACAAAGCCGCCTTTATCGTCCTTTCTTTACTAATGGTTTATTGCCCCTCTTGCCTTGAATATATTAAACCGCATCCACATCATGGGTTTGATGCATTTCTTATCGACTGTTTGTCTCTGTCGTATAAAATTTTATTGCTTGATAAAGTAAAACTATCGGCAAGCAACACACATTATTTCCTCTCAGATAGCGAGAGCCGTAGATATAAAAAGTTGCACTGAAAACCAAAAAGTCATCTCCTTGTTTCGGCAACCCAACATTTAGGACTGACCGCAGAATCCGTGTGAAGGACCAGTGTAACCCCCTGCTAAATCATGAGTGGACATCTGGAACACTTCATATGTTCTTTCGTAGCCCGATTGCTAAAGAAATTGCGGCTTCAGGATGCTGTTGGCCTAACAGCTTGTGGTGGAAACGAAGTTTTGAACAAGTAACCCGCCCAGGGGCCCTTCATGCCCTTCTTGCTTTTATCGACCAACCAAACACGTTAGTTCCAATCCCTTCTATTTCGGCCCTAGTCATATGCTAAAGGCCTTAATCTAGAGGGAACGACGCTGCCCGTTTCGCACAAATTGAGGGCTTACAGTTGAAATCAAATCGATCACAGCTAGTACCATCTTACTGTTCTGCAGGTACTGAGCGGAAAAAAGGCGTTCCTTATTATTATCACAAACGTTCACGGGACCTACGACGAAATCATGAGAATATGGAATACAACACTAGATTTGAAGAGCTGCCAACACATTTTTGAGATAGTGATGACAATTTAACAAGCGATTTTTTTTAAATATTTAATATGTGCTAACAACACAGATATCATTTGGACTGAGTTAGGTGTGTCTACATTCAACGACCCGTGCGCCCAAATACCTTCTTTGAGCGACCTGATGCAACCTCTTTACTGCAAGGTATGTGACGCCAAGCTCAATGGTCGTCTCCAAGCCTCAGCACATTACGACGGTAAAAGTCATCATCGACGCCTCAGGCAATACCTAGAGAAAGCCGGGAGAACAAGTGATCTGCACAAGCTCAAGGAACTCCACCAACAAAAAAAGGTTGTCATAAACGATATTTTTTAGTATTGCAAACACTGCCATCGCTTCCCAATAATGAGCAGGAAATAGGGACAATCGTGGGCCGGGTCTAGTTCACGGATATAGGCTTGTAAGCTGATTTATTATTACATTAACTTCTTGTGCACGAAAAATTGAGCAAACGCTACAAAGGTACGATGCTCTACTGGTGCTTCTGAATGACTATTGCGTGTATGGAAGCTTTTGTTTACAGCATACCTAGGGAGTCCAGTTTTTGTTAAGCGTTGAGCAGTCTCATACAACCCACCGAAACCGACAAGTAGAGCGGGCTAAAATCACTGTACGACAGATTTCTGCAAAAAGACAAAGACTATCGGTCTTTCCGACTACAGAAAATCGAACTACAATTACTAATGGCAGTAAAAGCTTACAAAGTATTCATTAAAATGACGAGTTATCAAGTACTCATGTTAGGTTCTCACACGTACCCGCTCAGCCACACAGGGACTAAATTGAATCGGCTTCACTATGGCAGGCATTTTACAAATAAAAACAAATTTTAAATACTCATCATCATCGAATAATTTTCATCGATCACCTCAGACCTACAGGGGAAATGTTCTAACAACTTATGCACGGATTGACACTCGAACGAGTTGTTTCGACTTCTTGGCAATGAGTTAGGTTACTTTTATACTTACAGGGATCACATGCTTTGTACTATGATTTCTCTTATGGTTTGCGGACGCTTTGATTTTACTGATTGTGATGTTTGTTTAGTTGGAAAAAAAGAGCGCTGGGGGTGACAAGCTCGAAGAGAGTTTCTGCAAGCTATGTGATGTAGCGTTCACCTCAGATGTGCAAGCAAAGCAGCACTACGCCGGACGAAATCATCAGAGAAGACTCAGGGGAGAGCCCCCATTACCGAAAGGCTTCTACAACCCGGTCACCGGTAAATGGCAAAGACAGTACGTATACATAAGTTGTCTTACTGCTGTACGGTGGTATGTATGCTAGGTATGATTAACAGAGCGACAAATTACTTAGCGTATTCGTAGAATAGACTAGGGTACAACTTATATTGAACATTCTTCCCATTGGTCCAGGCTCGTAGCAACTACTAACAGTAGCATAGGAGATAGGCTGCAATTCATTCGGCATGGACTGGTTAGTAAAAATTCAAAGAAACAGACTGATCTTCTTTGTCCGGTCAGTCCTATTGCTGGCGATGGCAGTCGTCTATTTTTCAAAACATCACTACGATAATTAGCGAAGTTGTTCTGAATGGCTTTATTTGTCAACTGCGAAGGTTTATACTCCAGCTAGAAAGAGGATAAGGTGTTCATCTAATGTACACGCTGTCCTTTTCACTGTGCACATAGAAAACAAAAAATTTGTCAATCACTGACCGGGAAAAGTTCGCTTCTCATCGATCTTTCGAATCGGATCACTTTGTATCTCTCGTCATAAATGAAACAATTCGTTTTGATAGACTAAAGCTATTCTATAAACCTTTAGGCTTCAGCGTAGTCGTTACTCGAAACTATTATATTGAAGACCGCCAGCGAAATGAGTAGCTTATAGCATTAAGTAATCATTCGTAGGTGTGTCAGACAGCAGCTTACATAGTGGTTGATTTTTTCCCACAGACGAGCCAAAGCGCTCACGTATTATCGGGGCCAATCGTTATCACCAGACTAAAGACTCCTACACAGAGTAAGCTAAGCCAACCCTTCAGCGATACAAATTTGTGTAGTTAGTAACGGAAGACTACATCGTCGCGGGGGACAGATCAAGCCAGTGAATGCATACGGAAACAGATGTTCAAACGGGTGGTAGCTCGAATGTAATGACAGGTGATTAGGTCTAGCAGTTGGCATAGGTGACTTCCGGAAGAGAATATATTGATAGTAAAAGTAGCTGATGAGCTACGGAATCAAAAGCAATATGATTCATTTGTGGCCTACAGGACAAAGGCCGTACGAGTTGTTGTAAAAATATATTAGCGAAACCGAACGAAGAAACACTCAAGCAAAGGGGGTTCGCTGCGCATTCGACCGGGATGATTGAGTCAATACGGTAATCTGTTAGGGTAGATCGCTCTATAGACGGGGCGGAAAAGGCAGTAATCTCGAAAATTAGGTCGCTGGCCAAAAAAGCAATGACAGAAGAGAAAATTGTTCAAGCCATGATGCCGGGCCACTGAGCGATGCAAAAGTACGAACGTTACAACGACAATAGACAGAACTTGGAAGACGAAAGAAGATTATGAAGAATGAAATCTACACTTAATTGGAAGCAGGCATCCACACCGAAGGCAGAAAAGTACCCAAAGCAATCGCTCGCATGAAGAAAATGATGATATTTTCAAACAATATATTGGAAAACGTTACGCAAAGACACTCGAATCTTTACTGGTTAACGAAAGACGACCAAGTGCTCTGTCTCAGAATAGGAGTAAGTTTAAATAGCTTGCCTTACCTATGGTAATATAACATACTGGAACCAATGTAAAATTCGTGCGAGTTATTCCCGGACATGGTTAGACCAGCGGTAACTATTTGATACGGATAATCAGAAAGTGGAAGAATACTGGAACTGTTAAGGAAGACTAACGCAATGATCAATGCCAGCGGGTCAGAGAGGCGGTTAAGGTGGAAGGTGCTTTGGGCGATTTCGATTCTGATTAGTGATGGCGTATGGTAGTGGACGCCCGGGGCTGAACTGCCCCGGGGTTCGTCGTGGGTCGCATGAACTAAGAGCGCGGGTAGGCTACGGAATGAATGGTCTTGCGTGAGACCAGGGCGGTTTGAACCATGTCAACATGTCTGAACTGGAAAAGTCATATAATAATCTCAAGATAAACCGGCACGCTGTATAAGATGCTAGGGCAGTCAGAAAACGATAAAGCACATAAAAGTCAAACGCCGAAGCGTGGCGAGTCTCATAGAGCAATGACAGAGATGCTAGACGACGAAGAACCTGGAATTAGTCTCCGACGAAAAAAAAAGAAGGCAAAAGGATTTTGAATACGAGGAAATTAAACACACTTTGCAGTGTGCAGAATAAGGTTAATCTGAATGCAACATTTATGCAACACATGCGGGCATTTGAGCGTTAACGACAAAATGGACAGCAATATTTAGATGGGGCATGGAAGGGAATCTGTAGTGGAAAGAAGAAGGTAAAACTAATATCTGAATTTAGAGATGATGTTGTTATGAAGAAGAGGTACTCTAGAGAGGATATTTGGAAGGAGAATCCAATATACAAGTGCATACAGTTTATTCAGAGATTTCAAAGGGATCAATTAAACTGTGTAGTACGGTGTGAATCATTAACCAAAAAAATCCATGTTGCTCATATGTGTAGCATATGAGCTACTTTAGTGAGTCAATTGTCGACCAAATTTTACATTCTCGTATAACGGGAGAATAATTGAAGACTTCGACCATTGATACATAATTGCAGCATATTAGTTCCCGACGCTCTATTACATTATTGCATACTTGTTATCTTTCGTAGATCCTTTCAGCACCCAAACTTGCAAGGGACTTTATCCGTCACAGAATGGCGATCAGTAATCTAAAATTTTGGGGAAAAATTAATTTAGTACAATTATTATTACCCGTAAATGATCGACTCTGTACTTTTAACACTCTTCTTTTGTTTTACCCTGTTTACTTGGGTTTTTGTTTTGTTGCTAATCTATCGACAGACCTCCGACAGGACTACCTTTAAAAATTGCGACAAGTGCGGGAGCTGCGACCACCGGGGTAGCAGCCGCCGCTACTGCTGCTCTTGTGACAGGACCGCACGGCGCGCACGCCTCAGCGTTAACCCCCGGTCATCATCCCACGGTAACATCGGCAAATCTTCTTGGAGCTGCGCAATCTCAAGCGGCAGCACTTACCGCTGCCCTCTTTTCGTCCCAGACAGCTTTACAGTCACTCCCATTTTATTGCGAAGCTTGTAACGTCGCCTTTCCAAATCAACAGCAAATGACAGCACACCTAACAAGTCCAGTGTAAGTGTTCCAATACATAAGGCTTAATCTATTATGCGATGCACTGTATTGCTATAAAAAAAAAAAAAAAAAAAAAAGAAAAAAAAAAAGGTCCTTGCTTCACTACGTGTGCGCCGCGTTGGTCACTTCAGCGAAGCGTAATTTCGACAGCCAATGCGCCCTTCGCGCCCCGTTGGTCGCTTCAGCGAAGCGTAATTTCGACAGCCAATACGCCCTCCGCGCCCCGTTGATCACTTCAGCGAAGCATAATTTCGACAGCCAATGCGCCCTCCGCGCCCCGTAGTCGCCTTGGTTGCTGCCAGCATTCGCTGCCATGGCCCCCAACGATTAAACATTGTAGCCATGTTTTTACTGTTTTTCCTAGTCGTCCCTGTTCATCAGTCATGGATTGACTCGATCCATTTCAGTGGCCTGTAGGAGCAAAACCCTAGATCTTTTTCCGTTGCTGCTTGGTATTCGTTTAAATGACAGGCGCGTCGGAAGCCTGGTAGTAGGATCAACATGAATATATGTTTGCTTGAGGAACACAAGTCAGACGCAAAAGTACAGAAAGTGAATCGGGAGGTAAGGGCACTGAGTAGTAGGGAAATGTAGTATGATATAACCAAGTGGCGGGCACCGAGAGCTCGTGAAGGGGACAGTAGATTGGCAGGAGAAGAATGGGTAACATAGCATGCCAAGGTAATTCTAATACCGAGTGACTGCATTGCTATTCTACCTGTTTCCCGCACCCATAACCCATTCTCTCTGAGCAAATGGTTCAAGTTCTAGAAAAAAATTTTTCATTTGATTATATCGCAACAAAGGTGTAACAAAAATCTCCCGTACGAATACCCTGTTATATATTGCAGTACGCGCCGAGACAGGAGCAATGGTAGTTGAGCGGCCCGCTCCTTTTGGAATTCTACATCCAAAAGGGGATCCTCATGACGGTCGCCAATCATACACGTAGATACGTATCTGTATTCCTGTCCCTGCCGAGCAGTCGGTTGCACCCAAGACCGATAAAGGAATCTATCTATCTATCTATTATTGGTTGGGGTGCACGATGCCCTAGTAGTAGAATCCCATTTCATTTGCTTTGCCACAATTACATGTCAAGCCTTGCTATATGTTTTTTTTTCGATAAGTCCTGATAGGAACCATTAGTTCTCCTTTTTGAGTCTACGAATTCCGGTGGTGGGAAAAATTGATACACTGTGTATTATTTTTTCTCACCGCGTCTGTATCAATCATCGAAGGAAACTTACCACATTGTAAAAAATATTGCCAAAAAAATTGTGACTTGTGAGGAGACATCAATGTATTCGAGTTAAATGTATTAACACATTTCCATGCATCCCCTATGAGACTTTATAAGTCGAACACACACTACTGTTCAGCGATCTAACTGCACGTAGGGAGAGATCAATGAGAAAGGCTCCTGTTAACCATCTAGAGGCGGTAAATAAAAATAATGATACAATATATCATTACAATAAAGTCACTAATTGTTCCATTAATCTACGATTTTTCAAGGATGTCAAACACCAGATTTCGGAACAAGCGTTCAGCGAACGATTTGTTTATTTCTATACGTTTATTCCAATAATAGCTTTGTCATGGATGCCATTTGTGTATGCGTGTTCAAGTTAGCGTTTTTTAGCTTTCTTAATTAACGTACCTAGCCGGCTCCCTTCTAAAAAGGAAAAATCAGTCTTGAAGCAGAACAACGCTTTTGGCTATTAAACTTTTAGTAGGTTTTTATATTGATTTGATTCGGCGATATATCTTTAATTATCCAGACGTAGTAGTAAAAGGCCGCCGAATTCCCATTTTTACCGAGTTATTAGAATCAATCACTGCCTTCGCTGGCCCATTTACTGCTTTTTAACTCCTTCTCAGTGGAGAGTATTCGCATGCCGATATTTTGTATTCGTCACACGTGCCTTACACGTGTTTTGGCGTTTTCCGCATTACGTGCAGTGGTGTACGCATGCCCCCCCCCCCCCCCCATTCATCGTTTTCTCCCACAATAGCGACTCGTACCTACAGATCCATTTTCAATTCGTTTGCTTTCTCTTCTGTCTCCTAACTTTTGCTCTTGCCCCTATCGTTCTCTAGCTTTATCAAATTCGTGGAATCGGCAAAATTCGAAACTTAAATCTGAATAAATTCACTTCTAGGTCCCACAGCCTCTTCTTCTCCAGATCCCGCTTGTCAGCGGAATACCTTCACTCTCTTTTTTGAAATATCAACTTCCTATACAACTACAGCATTATGATGGGTCGAAATCGATGTCGACGGCAATGGCAACGACGAAGCCTAGCCACACGGACCTAATACTGTGGGGTCACAAGTTCGCATGTGAGATACGAGCCGAGAGGAATAGACAAGAAAAACAATACATTGGAAATGGTATCGATGGCCAAAAAAGTCTATGGTGTTAATAATGAACGACTGATATTCTTCGATACAACAATTTTTCACCCCCTGCCATGTCCTATTTCTTTTTTTTTCCGCCTACGAACCAGCTCATTCAAATAGTGAAAGCCACTCGAGTCAGTGACTGATTTGTTGACGGCTGACGCTGATTTGACCTTCCTGAGTCAACACTGCTTTTAGTATTCAGCGCTACACTGCCTTTAGACGTTTGGGGGGCAAATAGGCAAGACAGGCCGTAACTGAGTCAGTTTAGTCGTTTGACTGTGTCTACTAACAGGAACGGCTCGGTAGCAGCAATACACTCGACGCAGAAGGCAATTGAAGGGGCAGTTGAATCTAAAACGTGGAGAAAACGAATAGCGACATACAGAAGGCATGCTCATGGGGAGCCGTTTGGCTAGTTGTTAGTGTTTCTTCATTTATTTTCTTTCGTTGCGTGCAAAATTCGACGTCGACCACGCCCTCTATCGACGGCAGCCCATGCGGGTTGTTGAGTAAGAGTAGCTAACAAAGGAGCATAAAGGTGAATAAATAAAGGAATGGGCATTAGATATCGGCGGCTAAATGCTGGAGAAGTGCGGGGATCATTTAGGATGGTCGTTTTATTCTATGCACAAGCAGAAATTTCATTAGACGGCTCGCCGTCTCTATGACTGGTGACCAATTACCAGTCAGCTCATTTCCTGAGGGGTCCGCAGTGCAACTAAAGTTAATACTATTAATAGTCAATAGTCTGTAGTTAGGTAATTACGTGCGATTAGCTAGTTGTATCAGAAAAAAAAAAAAACGAGCGCAAAAACAGGATCTAAGCTCTGTTGACGAATGAGTTATGTATCGAGCTCTATTCGTGCGCGTTGAACAGAATATTTAACACCGATCAATGGATTTTAAGTCCCTGCATTCACTCGAGCAGCGACATTTTCGCCAGCTTTTAGCAGATCGTTGACTCCGCCACGTACTTTGAAGTATGGTAATTTAAATTTACAGTTGCCGTTACATAAATCGAACGCTAAATGCGAGTCATCTATCGCTTACTATGTTACCGCATCACGATCATCTTCTGTATAGTATAGGGCTCCATATATATACATATGTATATATATAAGCAATTTTAGCAATCTTAACGCAGCAGCGAACGAAAGGAACGGACTGTTTGGCGTTGTCTACTACTGTCCTGCCCGTGATAGACGCGAGTGAAAAGGTCAAGTGCGGTTAACATGGCCACAGACCTGAACCTCCGGCAGTAATGGCAACCAAGCGAGCAGTCCTTCAGCTCAGCTGGAGAATAAAACCTTCCATATATAATGTGCTGAATACATTTCACCCTCTAGCTTATTCAGCTTCTTAGGTTCTTCACCCAACGACGTTCGCCTGGAAGTACTTTGTCTTTACTTTTCCTGAGTAGATGGGAATCCCTCTAATTCCCACTTCGTAAGATCGAGTTTCTTACCGATGTCCTGAAGGTTAAACAGGCTTTGCTCTTAAAAAGATTTTAGACTTTCTTGAAGTTACATAATACCACTGATTGTACCTTTTGCCATCGTTTTCAATCGGATCAGGTTTATTCACTGGTTATTTGCCCTGTTGAGAAACAATTTGTTGTACCTTTACCCGTAATACCCATCTCGTACCAAGCAGTCCTGGCTGTTTTATACGACGGATGCAAAGAACGAGTTAAAGCTCTTAAGAAGTAAATAGAAGTCGCATTGAACAAGCAGTCCATAAAAAAATTATTTTATCTGCACATAAAAAAAATTGGATCTCGATATGTCTCCTTTTTAAGAAGCAGTTATTAAACAAACAACATCGATATTGTTCCAGTTTGGCTAAGCTAAACCTCGTAGGAATATTGGGAGCTTGGAGTAGATGATTTTTGATTTATTTATTTGTACAAATTGTACGAAGGAGTGTGGAAATCCATATATATATA